AATTCGCCAACCCCCGACCGCAAACCTCACACTCCAGTCAAAATGCGAAACCTTAAGTCAAAATCCGAAACCTTAAGTCAAAATCCGAAGCCTTAAGTCAAAATCCGAAGCCTTAAGTCAAAATCCGAAGCCTTAAGTCAAAGTCCGAAACCTTAAGTCAAGGAGGAATCCGAGGTTCGAGAGTGACCTGAATGGCTCGTGCCATGCCAGCGCCAAAGCACGTCTCATACCCGCGCCTTTTGGTCTCTCTCCTCCCCCATATGTTTAGGGGTTTAGGGGTTTAGGGTTTAGGGGGTTTAGTACCTATCGGTTGTTAGGGTTAAGTTAAAGGGTTTGGAGTGCATGGGACCCACAGGGGGTTGGTGTTGGCAAGTGAGCTTAAGGGCTCACCTGCAGTCATGGAAGGTTCTACATTGGCGCGCCACCATGGAGAAGCTCTAACCAGGCTTAGATCCAGAAGCCTGCACCCTGACTGACCTGTAGCTTCTTGAGGTTGGTTTACGATTTCCGAGGGGGTTTGCAGACTCACAGCCCTCCTGCTGGTCAATTCCTTGGAGACGAAGCGCATGCATGTAATGATACCTTTGCACGACGCTCATCCGAAGGATGTGGCAACAAAAGTGCTGGTGAAGCAATTAAGTAAGGTTAGTGCCAGGGTTAATATAACATATGAATATGTGTGTATATATGTATGTGTGTCTACGGGTCTTATGTGAGCGTTGCTTAACCTGGTCCGAAAAATAGCATATGCATGTAAATATATGTATCGGTATGCGTGTGTATATATATATACACATATATATATATGCATGCATACATGTGTATACATATGTGCTTACAAAAAATACATGTAGAGAATCATACCTATCTTGTTAAAGGACCCTTCAGTAGCTAGTACTAGTCGCGGAGGCATGCTCGGAGGAGTGGTTGTCAGCAGTGCTCTAAACCCTAAACCCTAAACCCTAAACCCTAAACCCAAGACCCTAAACCCTAAACCCTAAACCCTAACCCAAGACCCTAAACCCTAACCCAAGACCCTAAACCTCCGAGTGGGTTCGGGCAAAAAGCCCCGTTTTAAGGATTTCAGGGCTGGTGGCCCTCTTTAGGCTTTTTTGTCAAACTCAAGTGCTAGAGTCTGCTAGAGGCCGTTAACAAAAACATCTGCAAGCCGAAAAACAGCATAAAGCGCCGCAGAGCAAAGGCTCCAAACCCTAAACCCCAAACCCTAAACCGTTAACCCTTAAACCCTAAACCTCTGAAATCCCCATAAACCTTGAAGCCCCCCGGCCCGAAAAGGCCGAATTACACAACCCCCCCACACGCCAAAAGGGTTTAGGGTTTGAGGGTTTAGGGTTTATAGGATTTAGGGTTTAAGGGTTTGAGGGTTTGAGGGTTTAGGATTTAGGGTTTAGGGTTTAAGGGTTTAGGGTTTCGGGTGTAGGGCTTAAATGTAAAGCATGCAAAGTTTAAATGGGCACTTGATCTCGGTACAGAGCGGGCGACAGCACGCACACAGACGGGCGAAAGCAGGTGTTCAAGGAGAGCCAGCCCGAAAGTAAAGGCTGACATAGTTGCAGTAAAGTTGGTTCGCACCAAGGAGGTTCTGACCCCAGCTGCAAGCCCAATGAGGCACCCGCCTCTTGGGTTTAGGGTTTGGGATTCGGGCTGCGGTTGTTGGAAGTAGGGTCCACCCAGCCTGAACCAAAACCCTACAGACGGTTTAGGGTTTAAGGGTTTAGGGTTTATGGTTTAGGGGTTTAGGGTTGGGGTGTTTAGAGTTTAAGGGTTTAGGGTTTTTTTCTACATGCTACACACTAAAGCCCATGTGAAGCAATCCCGCCGCAGCTCTGGCCGCTCAGGCAAGTGCCTGTAGGATTGCTTTAGAGCTCAGGGTTTAGAGCTTAAGGTTTGTATATTGATAACCGCTATAACAACAGTAGTAACGGCTTGCGATCAGGGTTTAGTCTTTGTTAGTGGATTTCGGAGAGTGAAGTTAGGAAGCGTATGGAGAAGATCCAGGATTGGGATGCAGGGCTTGGTGAAGCGTTTTGGTTTCAGAAAACTCCGGGGACCCAAGCCTAGACCCTAAATAGCCGAATCCTTGTGACAGGGACGTCTGAAACTAAAGGTTCCACGAATTTTCTGTTTAGCGTTTAGGGTTTACCTGTAACCGAAAAGACCTACCTTTTTAGGGCTCCTTATTATGGCTTCTATATATAGTTGTTCCTTAAAAAGGTAGGCCTTTTCGGTTACAGGTAGGGTTTAGGGGTTTAGGGTTTAGGGCACCATGTCGAAAGCCGGGGGCGCCGAGCTACCGAGCTACCTGAAGGTGATCAAGCAGCCCGGGGCCCGGCTTGGTAGCTTGTTTTTTGGGGGCCGATGCAAAGGCTTTCATAGGGTTTAGGGGGTTTGTATGTAGGGTTTCATCTGCTTTTTCCTGGCTTTTATGCGGGTTTTTGGTTTCGTGTTTCTTAGCTGTTAGCTGATTTTCGGGTTTTGAGTGTTCAGGGAAAGGGTTTTCTTGGGGCGTGGATACAAAGCCACCGCAAGACACAATTGTTCAGGCACCGATGTTACTACTTGTCACTACTATTGGTAGGTTTCTAAATTGGACTGCAACACTACGCTATCCTTAAGATAAGGACCCGCACAAACGAACGGCAAGCGGACGCCGCACATAGTACTTATCGAAACCCCGAACCCTAAACCCTAAACCCTATAAACCTTAAACTCTAAACCCTTAACCCTATAAGCCCTGAACCTAAACCCCAAAACCCTAAACCCTAAATCCTATAAACCCTTAACCCTAAACCCTCAAAAGGAAAAACGGTAGACCTGGCACCCAGAGCCTGAAGCCTGAGCCTTAGCCATGATGGCACAAGAGCTCGGTCGCGTGGGGGTGGAAAGTAGGATAGTCATACGATTAAACGGGACCAGGGATGATGACGAATTTCATGGTGGACAGAACTCAAGTAAGAGCAAAGTCAGAGAAAGAGGGATAAGAAATGGGGACTGGAGCAGGAGTAGGAATAGTAACATTAGCAGAAATAGTCCCGCTGATGGTATGCCTCCTCTTCCGACGGTTGCTCGAAGCTTTGGGGTCGTTTATGTATATGACAACAGACCCCCGAACCCTAAAGTCGAGAACCATGAACATACATGATGCAGCCCCAGCTCTCGCTCTCTCTCTCGCTCTCGCTCTCTCTCTCTCTCTCTCTCTCTCTCTCTCTCTCTCCATGTCAAACCGCACACTCCAAACCACTTTGAATCCCTACACCCCAGATGCCACAGTGCTTTTAAATCCCTGAACCCTAAACCCTAAAACCTGAACCCTAAACCCTAAAACCTGAACCCGAAAACCTGAACCTTAAACCCTAAACCCTAAAACCTGAACCTTAAACCCTACACCCGAAGCCCAAAAACCTAAGCTACAAACCCCTCGAAATTAGGGTCCCTGTTATGGTCCTTTTTTGTAAGGACCCTAATTTGGAGAACTACCAAAAAAGCTCCCGCTCCGCGGTGCTTTATCCGAGCCCCGGCTCGAGAGCAGCGGGGGCCAGAGCAGGGCGCGTGGCCATGCAGCCGAGGCATGGGTCGGTTTTAGGAGTTTGGTTTGGGTATGTTTAGGGTATAGGGTTTAGGGTTTAGGGTTTGGGGATGTTTAGGGTTTAGGGTATAGGGTTTAGGGTTTAGGGTTTGGGGATGTTTAGGGTTCATCGTATAGGGTTTAGGGTTTCCGGATGTTTAGGGTTTAGGGTATAGGCTTTAGGGTTTAGAGTTTAGGGCTGGGGTTTAGGGCTTCGGGATTGTCTGGAGTTTGTTTAGGCGGTATGCAGTGTGGGGCTTCATGGGGTAGAAGCTAGAATGGTCTTCTACTACTGCGACTAACTACTACTGCTGCTGCTGCTACTACTACTTTTACTACCACCACCACTACTCCTACCACTGCTACTGCTACTGCTACTGCTACTGCTACTGCTACTACTACAGCTACTGCTACTGCTATCTGCTGCCGCTACTGCTAGAAACTACTACAAGTACTTGTCTTGCTCCTGCTAGAAATCAATACAAGTACGCCTCCGACTGCTACGACTACTACGACTAGCTACAGCTACAGCTACAGCTACAGGTAGCGCAAGTGGTCAGAACCGGGCATAGCGAATCCTGAATATCATACCATGTGGCGCATCCATGCTCCAATTCGTCGTACTTCGAGTTCTAGTAGCAATAGTATGATTGGTATTTTGATTTCTGAGAATAGCGGAAAATCATGATGACTACCCTGGGACGGATCATGTAGAACCTTGATTGAGAACTCGCGTTGCAGCAAAGATAAGACAGGGAGTTTGTGATCCTCAGCCTTAAACCCCAAGTCTAAACCACTACCGCAAACCCTAAACCCGAAACCCTAAACCCTAAACCCTAAACCCCTAAACCCTATAAACCCTATAAACCCTAAACACTAAACTCTATAAGCCCTAAACACTAAACCCTAAACCCCTAAACCCCATAAACCCTAAACCCTAAACCTCTAAACCCTAAACCCTAAACCGAAGTGCGAAGGCTTCGGAGTGGTTGGGCGAATGTGGCGCTGACGGCATGGCCAGGCGGGACGTTGAGGAAGGAGTTTCAGGGTTTAGGGCTAGGGTTTTTTTGGGTTTAGGGTTTAGGGTTTAGGGCTCAGGGTTTGGGGTTTAGGGTTTAGGGCTTAGGGCTTGAGCTTACTATTTTGGGGATACGTCATTTCAAGTTTCGGTGTCCTTAGAACAAGGATCCTACGACTTGGGGGTAATACCAGGGTCCCCCTCCATAGGCGCACCCCTGACATCCAACAAATACCGCCAGGTGGGGGATTGAAAGAGGACTTCATGCCCCCGAAGCTCTAAGCCCTAAACCCTAAGCCCTAAACCCCCAAACCCTAAACCCCAAACCCTAAAGCCTAAGCCCTCAACCCTAAACCCTAAACCCTCAACCCAGGTGGGGCCTTGAAAAAGGAGTTCATGCTTCTGCCCCTGGTCCTGGCCGGTTTCAGTGCGGTGGCCTGGCGCCGGCCGGAGCGTAGCATCTCGGTGCTTCTTGGCCTGGCTGCCACCTTGCTGTCGCCCTTGGGGGTGATGCTCTTCCGGCCGCTTGGTTCGTTTGTTTCGTCTTGTTTGGGTTTAGGGTTTAGGGTTTAGGGTTGGGTTTCAGGGCTTCTGGGGGGTTGATGGTTTAGGGTAGGTGCCCAAGTTTAGGACACCCAATTGCAACGTGGAGAGAGACCCTGAACCTAAACCCTGAGCCCTTTACCTGTTCTCCAGGCCCTTGGTCAGTCTGGTAACGTCCTTGCTCTTGCAGTCCTCGGCGAAGCATCTGAGTGACATCCTCGTCCGGACGACGCTGGAGGTGGTGCAGAACGAGCAGGGCGTGGACCAGCTCGTCAACTCCGCCAGCGAAGCGATGCGGAAGGTCAGCGCCTACATCATGATAACCATGGATGATGATGATGATGATGATGAATAACTATGGATGATGATGATAATGATGATGGGGGTAATAACGTGATGATGGTGATGACGATGATGATAGTCATGATCGCTGTAATGATCAGCAACAGGGTATCATTATCTTCACAACCGTCTTCAGAAAGCAGCAGCAACAAGACGAATAATCATAATAGTCATACTAATAACAACAAGAAAAGCAACAACACGAAATAGTTCCTCGGCGATGGGCTGCTAGTCGGTACAATGGTGTCTGTATGTTCACACCAGTACCAACTTTGTCGTTGTTTTTCTGCCTTCAATGGCCAGAGTATCATCCTCATGACACGTTCTGGCACCATCCGTATCACATTGGTTTTCGGTGCGGAAGCCTCCACTTCAAGAACATCTTTTGGACTCTCGAGTCAAGGCTGCCGAGATGATTTACCCTAAACCCTAAACCCCTAGACCCTAAACCCTAAACTAGGGCTTGCGGGGTTTGGGCCTTGGGCGTAGGTAAGGCTAGGCCCCCATCCCCCAAAACCCTGAACCCCCGAGAACCCCGGAGCTCCTGGAATCTGAAACCCCTCAGCCCTGAAGCTCCTAAGCCATCAACCCCTAAAACACCCCTAAGCCCTACACCATAAACCCCTAAAGCACCCCTAAGCCCTAAACCATAAACCCCTAAAGCACCCCTAAGCCCTAAACCATACACCTCTCAGCCCCTAAAACCCTCAAAAACCCCATAAACAAAAACCTTACAGGCATTCGGAACCGCAGTATCTGAGCTGCCAGGCTAGGATATCCCTTCCTTCAATGGGGAGCTCCAAGAGGGGCCCTTAACTCTGGGTTTAGGGTTTAGGGTGTAGGGCATCCCATGCAAGCCGATTTGGGCTTTGGGCTTTGAGTTTAGGGTTTCGGGGGTTTTTAGCAGTTTTGGGCTTTTGGATGCCAGGCTCGAGACCAAACAGCTCCCTGCGTCAGGCCATGACCAACAAGCAGGTACAAAGTGCCCTGAAGGAGACGGTCATCGATGCCATGCAGGACGCCGGACTCCCATCTCCAAAGCCCAAAGTCCGAGCTTAAAGCTGAAAGCTCAAAGCCTTAGACCCGAAGCCCTCAACCCTCAACCCCTAAACCCCTAAACCCCTAAACCCTTAAAGCCCCAAAGCCCTAAAGCCCTAAACCCTAAACCCCTAAACCCCGCAACCCCTATACCCTAAACCCCTAAACCCTCGACCTTAAGCCGAGCAGGACGAGAACTTGCAGCAGGAGATGATAAAGACGCTGACCAAGGCGCGCGTTGGACGAACGTTTCTCGAACCCAGGAAGCTGGAAACCCTGAAAGCGCAGGGTTTAGGGTTTAGGGTTTAACTGCGCTAGTGTTCATGCTTTAGGGCTTTTTTGGGTTTAGGGTTTGGGTTGCAGGGTTTAGGGTTGGTGGTAGTCTTCTTGCGGAGGATGTCCAGGAATATTCCTTGTATCAAGCCGTGTTAAACCATGCCCTAGTAGAATCTTTTAGGCTTGTAATAGTGGCCCCCAAGAGGTCACAAGCATAAGCAGTTTACAAGGATATCGCTACTTTATTGGACTTCATTACTCATTACAATGGGATCTATGCGGGAACCCTAAACCCTAAGCCGCTTATGTGCTTGTTCAGGGCCCTATCTAAACATCATAGGGCTACCCTCGGGCTGCAAAGGCCCAAAGATCAAGGATTTTAGCTTGGGGCTTGGTGTTTAGTGCTTCAAAGCTTAAGGTTTAGGGTTCAGGGTGCAGGGCCCAAACTTTAACCCTGAACTAAACCCTAAACCCTAAACCTTAACCCTGAACTAAACCCTAAACCCTAAACCTTAACCCTGAACTAAACCCTAAACCCTAAATCCTGAACTAAACCCTCAACCCTGCCCAGAGATCCCAATACCCCTTAATTAAGGAATATACCTTAAATCATAATATTAAGGCCCCTATAACTTAAGGTATATTCCTCAATTAAGGGGCATTGGGCTCTCTGGGTACGGCCTCACGGTTCGAGGTTTCGGCTGTAGGACTGTAGCGTAGGCCGCCATCCTCTCCTCCGGCGACCACCTGCTCCGCGCACACCTTCTGGACGTAGGCCGCTTTGCCCCTACCTTTGGGGGGTCGCTGGCCCTAAACCTTAGACCCTAAACCCTAAACCCTCCACCGTTTAGGGTTTAGGGTTCAGGCTAAACCCTAAACCGAATGTAGCGGTCTAGAGTTGAGCCTGCGCGACCCTTGTGCTGAAGACCCTACGGCCTTGCACCTAGGGTATATCCGGGCCTTTTAGTTGATCCGCAAACGCTGATAGAAGCTCTCTGGAACCCATATATCTAAAAGCTACAGTGCCCCCTAAACCCTAAACCCTAATCCCCCCCTACAACCTAAAGCAAGGCAAGGATGCCCTCGTCCGAGCTATGCCGCTCAGCAGATGGAGCGCTTTCGGCTCCCGACGTTTAGGGAGGGTGTTTAGGGTTTTAGGGTTTACGGTTTAGGGTTTTTGGCTTCACAGGGTGTAGTGGTGTACTCGAAGGTGTTTCGGGTTCCCTAAGCCCTAAACCCTACACCCTTTTGACTTGGCTTTCTGGACCGCTCCTTGGGTTTATTTGACAGGGTCTTTGCAAGGCTTATACAGGCCTAGTATAGGCTTGGCTGTGGTTTAGGGTTTAGGGTTTAGGGTTTAGGGTTGTAGGGAGTGGGCCTTTGTTAATTGTTAAACTTTTGGAGCAACCGTAGCGTTCCCCGATCAGCGTCGCAGCAGTCGCTGTGTGTTAGTCTGTCTTTCCCGGACCTCCGGACCCTAATTCCTGAACCTTCTACCCCGACAGCCCTACAATACAGGGGCCAAGTCTAAGTAATGGAGCTTAGGGGCCCCCGGCTTAATCTACTGGGTTCCCCAGTGGTACCCTTTTGCCCTTTTTTGTTTGGGGTCTCCTTTTTTAAAGCCGAATGTTAGGAAAAAGGGTACCCTTATTATTAAGGGGTTACTGGTGAAGCTAGTCTACTATAATTTGTCCACAAGACCCTTTTCTCATCGTGAAGCCTCAAGATGACACTGTAAACCCTAAACACCTAAAGCGTGAACCCAGGAAGGACTAGGCTTGCATGTCTGAGCCCTAAAAACCCGAAAACACCTCAAACACCTCAAATACCTCAAACCCTAAACCCTAAACCCTAAACCTTAAAACACCTCAAACCCTAAACCCCAAAACACCTCAAACCCTGAGCGAGCCCAGGAAGGACCAGGCTTTCATGTCTGAGATGGTCTCCATGATCTCGAAGTCGGCGCTGGCAGCGTCCCGAGACCAGGTGGGATGCCTTTAAGGCATCCTCAAGGGGATCCTTAAGGGATCTATAGGGTGACAGGGTGTAGGGCTTTAGGGTGTCATGTGTGGTTTGGGGTTGAGGGCTCTGGGCTGGATATAGGGCTTGGGGCCTAGGGCTTAGGGCCAAATCTAGGGTTTAGGGTTTAGGGCTTAACATAAGGTTTTGGGCTTGGGGTTTGGGGTTTAGGGCCTAAGGCTGAGTATGGGGCTTGGGGTCCAGGCATTCGGGCGAAATGTAGGATTTCGGGGTTTAGGGCTGAAGGCTGAATCTAGGGTCTGGGGTTTAGGGCTTCGGTCTTGTTATGTCGGATTTAAGGTTTAGGGTTTAGGGCTTCGATCTTGATATGTTTAGGGCTTGGGGATTGCAACCATCGTCGAGGTGTGTTGCAACGATAAATGCTTGAGTGGGGCTGTTGATGCAATCAAAGGCCCTCCAGTTTAATATTGAAGCCTAACTAATTATCTATTTTTGGGTAGCTTTCTAAATTAGGGTCCCTTTTCGGATCCTTTTTATAAGCCGATCCTTTTTATAGGGGTGCCGTACTATACTTCGGACCTACAGTAAAACGGGGCCTTAATTTAGAGAACTACCCAATATGTTCCTTAGGGCTCCTTGTTACAACTATACCACAAAGGAGTTTCACACTGCATTCTAGTTATGAAGGCCCCTACAATACCCGTACACCTTTGATCTTTCTCGCCGCCAAGCAGGAGATCCGCGAGAACACCCTGGATGTCGTAAAGTCGGCGATGACTGATGCCTTGAAGGACCCTTTATGCCGTGGCCATGTTCACGCTTGGGGTTTAGCGTTTAGGGTGTATGTTTGGGGAGCAGGCTTTGGGGTTGAGGGTTCATGTTTACGGTTCAGGTTTAACCTCGTGAGAGGAGTAGCTGCAGACATGCTGGTGCTCGGAACCGTGGCAAGAGCAATGTTCGTCTGCTGCTGCTGCTGCTCCTGATACTGCTCCAACAACAACAACAACTACTACTACTACTACTACTCCTGCTGCTGCTGCTGCTGCTGCTGCTACTTCTACTACTACTACTACGACGACGACGACGACTACTACTACTACCGCTACCACTACCACTACTACTACTACTACTACTACTACGACGACGACGACGACGACGGCGACGACGACGACGGCGACGACGACGACGACGATTACTACTACTACTACTACTACTACTACTA